AGTGAGGAGAGGGGGATCAAGGCGTAAGATTCCAGAGTTCAGCTATAAACATGTCACATGTAGTATCCATTAGGACTTAATAAAATCTACTCGGTGTAGATATACGGGAGTATGGTTGATTACATGTTCTACTGCATTCCATTTGATGTTTATAGCCCAGGGCAGTGTATGAACACAGAAATTAATGATGTAATGTTTGAAGTTGCCCAAAAGCATGCATGCGCACGTGCAACTTTTGTCAGTCTATGATTAACAGCGCAGGCAGTTGGTGTTCTGGATTATGTTCTCAAGCAATCTTGATTTTTAACAGGATCAAGGAGAGTTGACTAGACAGAGGACGAACAGGGGACCCAGTGCTTATATTCCTGTGACACAGCTACCAGGGCCAGCTCTGGGTGACAACATTGCTGCAGTTATGAGCCTCCATCCTGAGTATCTGCGCATCTTTTGGAAGACCCAGCATCAGCTTTTGCGTATGGATGGAGCATTGTCCCTCCCAGAGAGACACTATGTTGCCATAATGGTGAGTCAGAAAAAAATGTGCTTGTTTTAAAATTGAACAGATTTATTAGTATTGAAAGAAGTTTGCTATTGCCCATAGCGGCAAGAAGCGGCTGTGAATGGCGGCATGGGTAGGGTGTGTGCCCCTACCCGGAAATGCAAAATCACTTGTATGTACATATGTGATTTTTGTGCATCCGTGCCACCCTGTAGCAGTATATCTGCTATAGGGAGGTTGGGAAGCGGTTAAATAACCTTGTTGTGTTAAATAACCTTGTGATAAAATCACTAAAATTAAATCAAAATATGCTTAGGAAAAAATACACATGAAGTTAAAATGCATATAAAAATCTGGCAGAGCTCCTTAAATATATGTGAAGCAATGTGATATCCCTAGGAACAAATAAAAAAAAATGCTCAGTGATGAGAAATAGTGAAAAAAATATAATAAATAAAACTTAAGAGCTCTCCCAAAATAATTATATTTTAGAGTTAATAAAGGTTAGATGAACACACCCAATGGATCGAGCCAATAAAATATAAAAGTGAATAAATGATGTTGAATAAACCCCTCACTAGATAAGTGCAAAGGTGTAAAGTGGAATAACATACATTGTTCCGGCCGGAACAAATATTGCTAATAATCAAAGGGAAAAATGTAGAAAATGTGAACACCAGTCCCAAAGTTGAAATTCAAATACATTGTACAGTCCTTTTGCCCCAAATCTTCAACTACAGAGAATTAATCGGTGACTTGCAAGTGTATTTAATCGCCACATGTGCTCCTTTTCCTTCTAGCATGCACGCTCACCTTAAAGGTCGACCCATATATTATACAGGACACATGCTTTGTGATCAGATCACTCCCCTCATGGATTTGGATATCCCACAGGTCTCCACAGGTTAAAGTATGGCAATCTCTTGTGATCACTTCAGTGGATATGCACTCAAAGAATTTTCTGCATTTCAAAGATCCAGTGAGATTCAGCTTGACTCTCGTTGCTGCCTCTCAAATAGGGGTGATATTTCTCAATCCCCCAAAATTTTAAGGATGAAAGATCCTTGTGTGTAGCAAAATGTTTAAAGACATGGTTTAGTATAACCCTTTTTAATATTTTGAATGTGTTCTGTCTCGGTTGTTTTTGAACTCCTCCAGGCACCTCAAACTCTGGTTATGAAAGGCTGTACTGAACTGTGTAGCTCAACAAGTAATTGTGCTTTGGTCTTGCTTAGGATTGGCCTAAACATGGCATGAATCATTCATGCTATGGCAGACTGCTATCCAATTGACTTGATTGGTAGTGCGTGTTGGAAATTTATGTATAATTGCGCACATTTCCGACCCACACCAAAATGTGCTGTTTAGCTGACATGCGTGGGTGCCATTAATTCTTAATACTCCCACATATCAGCACTTACCTGTGCGTGCTTTTGCTCATGCCAAATTGCATGAAGCTGCAGCACCATGCAGTTTGGCATTTAAAAAAAAAAAGGGGGGGGCAAGTACTGGCATTTCCTGCGGATAGGACAGTCCATTGAAATGAATATGCTGTCCTACAGAGGACGTGTGCGTAAACATGCATACATACATGTGAACCAAGCGTTAGGGGAAAAAAAGATTAGGTGTTTGGGGCTGGTTACGTGGACGCTGTCACGGCTCCCCGGGGCTCTCATCTTCACCCGGTCTTCCTTCCGGGTTTCATTGGCTGCAGCCATTTGACTGGCTGAGCAGTGATTACATCACTCCCGCACATGTACGTGGGAGCCTTGGCCATGGCACAGCTCTTTCATTGGACGGCATGCCATCCTTTGAGAGTGCAGTGTGCATGCACCAGTGACATCACCAGCACTGCTAAAGTAAATGTCTCCTAAACGATGCACGATATTTACTCTACCTACAGTTAAGCCTTATTATAGGCTTACCTGTCTATTAAAAAAACTGCCTTGACTACCACTTTAAGCACCAGCAGTAAAGTTAACCCTTTGTTTTGTAATGCATTCACAAAACACTGGTAAATTTGTTTTCCATAATTTCCTCTTAAATGATTCCGTACCACGCTAAAGCCGAAAGACTGCCACAGTGTTGTCTAGTTCTGGGAGGGCGTCCATAGACGTCCTCCCACAACACGCCCCCAGCGGCGTGCACCTGGCGTTGCCTGTGATCGCTGTTTCCTATGGACACAGCTGATCACGTGATACGGTAAACGGCCAATCACAGCGGCCTTTTACCACATGATCAGCTGTGTCCAATGACACAGCAGATCACAGGGTAAAGACAGTTGCCGGATATCGGCAGTACATTCCTCATGCTGTGACAGGCAATTGTCAGATGTGATCGGCACTGATCAGTGCCCTGATGAGCAGTGCTGCCCATCATTGCCACCTTCCAGTGCCTAGCAGTGCCACCCATATCAGTGCAGCCTCATCAATGCACATCAGTGAAGGAGAAAAATGACCTGTTTTGCAAAATTTTGTTTTTTGCTTTTTTTGTTTATAGCGCAAAAAATACAACACCCAGTGGCGATTAAATACCACCAAAAGAAAGCTCTATTTGTGTGAGAAAAAGATAAAAATTTCATATGGGTACAATGTTGCATGACCATGTTGTCATTCAAAGTGCGACAGCACTTAAAGCTGAAAATTGGCCTGGGCAGGAAGGGGGTACAAATGCCCGGTAGGCAAGTGATTAAAGTAGAACTGCAGGCAAAACTTTCATTTAGGCACAGAGGAAATTCCTGAAAATTGAAGGGATTTTCTTGGGGACCCCAGTTGGAAAATTTCCCCTCTTACTTTTCTGGGACAACCTAAAATTTGGATTTTCTTACTCACTTTCGATGACAATGTTAAACGGGACAAACCGAGAGGGTGAATCTCCCTAGCGGGGACACAGCAGTAAAGCCTGACAGGGGTTCTAATACTTCTCCGCTCTATAGTTATACTTTCACGCTTTTCTATTTAACAGTTTCATATCTTTAATTTTAGGCAGCTGCTCGCCATCATTGTGTCTACTTGGTCTCACTTCATTCAACCCATTTCCTTCAAGTTGGTGGGGACCCTTGTTGGTTGGAAGGCCTTAATTCTGCACCTCTCAAACTGCGCAGACTTAATGATTTGAACAAGATCCTTGCTCATAGGCCCTGGCTTATAACCAAAGAACACATTGTGGTGAGTCCATAGAATGAGATTTATGTAGAAAGGCTCTTCAAAAGTCTATATAAGTAGACCGTTACATAAACGTTTTTAAGTGAATAGCAAACCTAGCTTGGTAAAGGCTGCTTCTTTAACACTGTAGAAGGCTTATAATGCATATAAACCATGATCAGTTTTTACTGGCACAAGTGTCCACAGGTGCTGCTTGCATCCTTGTGCAGGCAGTCCCATAGCTGTCAATTAGAAACACAGCCGCTGCTCCCACAGTGACATCCGTGCACCTGCCTGGATGTCAACGTGAACCTGACTGGGAACAGCGGCTGTGTCTGTGCAGCTGCTGCTTCCCAATTGACAGCTATGGGACTGCTGGCATGGTGATGCACGCAACACCTGTGCGTCCCCGTGCTGGTAAACATGGCCCTGCTTGGGGTATGGATGAAATCTGTATTTGAGGTCTTACTGTAAACTTTGGCATTCCAAACTGTTATGAAGAATTGCCTTGGCAGAGATTACTTTCAGTGTAAATTGCATGTCAAAGCAGCTGGTAGATTCATGATCTAAGCAGTATGGAAAGGTTTTGCCTATTCCACCTTCCCAGCTGCTGGTTAGGGAGGGTGCCCATTACTAGCATAATGTGAGATAGGAGGGTGTAGGGGACAGGCTTCACTAGAAGGAAAAGTTGGTAAATCCTGTTACCTGTATCTTAAGCTGCATATTTTTTTTTGCTTAAATTAACTCTTCATGCATTCATTTATCATATGCTTTGTGTGTGTGTTGCATAAATTTGTGACCGTAAGGTTAACCTAGCTGTGCCGTAGTCTGTATGTCCTGAAAACCTCAAAATACAGTGCACTGTGCATGCTATCAATTAACATTCCCACTGGAATTTCAGGCCCTTTTCGTTTGGCTCCCCGTGCGGCCATTTTATGGCTCGTGCATAGAATCCAGGTAGGGGTGCAGGAAACAAGTTTTCTTGCCTGGGCGAGAATTTCAGAAGTAGTTTTTAAAAAAAAAAAAAAAAAAAAAAAAATTATATCCAGATGTTGAGGGAGGGGAGGCAGAGCAAAATTTGGTATTTTAGGGTAAAGGTCCGCTTTAACGTCTGTATCTACAGCACCTAGTTTCATATTGGCCATCTTTCCTGTGGATAAACACACAATTACCATATTTGCCATTTGCTGCTTTTTACTTAGTTTGGGTGGGGGTCTCCAATAACCAGTTACATTGCTAATCTCTTATGTCAGTACATTGTAGATCTGAAGGTTGCTAGAGTTGGTGTAAATGTATTCTGTTTCTGCTCTTCCCTGCAGTCTCTTGTGAGCTCCCAAGGGGGAAACTTTTGGTCTCTTGCTGAGCTGATTCAAGCTCTTGTCCTGCTTACACACTTCCATGCACTTTCCTCTTTTATTCTGGGATGTGGAATTTATCCTCCAGAGGGACTAAATATCGAGCGCCCTCCTTCTCCTGATGTGTCCTTGAATCAGGTATGTGCTTTGTTACAGGACCCTAGTTTTGTTTTTAATTATGCTATGCTTTATTTTATGGATTAACTATTACTGTGAAATTCATTAGAAAAAATTCCAAAAATGTATTAGCATGCTTGTCCAGTGTTTGAGGCATGATAATTGGTGGGGTTGAACATCAACTTTTTTGGTTGAAATTTTTACTAACTTATTGATTCTAAGGTTTTTTTTTTTCCCAGATAACCTGTTATACTTGTTATGTGCAGTGGTTTTCCACAGAGCAACCTCAATCCTCATAGGTTCCCTGACAGTGTTCCTTTCTCATTCCACTTGACTAGTGTCTCCAGTAGCAAGCCACATGCTGTGTGCTTGCTCCCAAGCCCCTCTCTGCTTCCAGAAGACATAGAGCTGCAGCTTGGCCTTGCACCCCTCTGCTCTCTCCTCATTGGCTTACTGGCTGTGATTGACAGCCGTAGGAGCCAATGGCTCCTGCTTTGTCTCAGTCAATGAGAGAGCACCAAGGCTTATGCACACATTGCTGGATCCAGAAGGGGCTCAACTGAGTATAAGAAGGGTTGCCAGGGGAGCTGAACACAGAATGTATGAAGGTAAAAATCCTTGAGCCACTTCAAGAGCATCCCAGTTTCAGGTCACTGAAAAACAAATTGTGGATGTGTTGTCACCTTGCAGTGCCTCCCATACCAGGCTGTTTACTTTCTTAGTAGTTAAGGTACAATTTAAAGATAACCAATAAAATGTTCAATTGACTTGATCCATTAAGGAGCATGTTGGCATTAAAGAAAAACTTAAGAGTATTTTTTTTTTTTTTTCCCTTGGCATAGATAACACTAATTCCTGGCCTTGGTAGTCTTGGTCATGTAGCTAAAGCTGGCAACAGGCTGAACAAGATTCCTCCAACCATGTCATACAGTACAGATGGATGGATCGCGCGCTGTACTTTTTTTTTTTTTTTTTTTTTTTTTTTTTTTTTTTTTTTTTTTTTTTTTTTTACAGCCTGCCATGCTTGTTATCAAACTTGAGCTGCAGCTGCATAGTTCAGTGAAGGGTTGTCCAGCGGGAGACGGCCTACAGGGCCACCCACTGAGCACATTCTAGCAGTCTCCTCAGGAAACGGCAAAAATTTGTACAGTGTATAGCTAGTGTAAGAATTACTGCACAATCCATTTCTTTTGTAATGACATAAGGGGATCAAATAGGCTACCCTCTGTGCAAAGATGTGTAGAAACAAGGCTTTAAATATAGTAACACACCAAGAATAATTGGATCTTTTCAATGTAGTTCTAACACATTCACCTTTATGAAGGCAGGTCACAAAACTGCGTTTTTGATGGACAGTTCCTCAGGAAGACAGCGCAGTTCCTGTTGGTGCATAGTTTTTCGTAGGATGAACTGAACAAATTTCAGTATAGACAGAACAGCACAGCAATGTAAAGTGAATGATATAACCTTAAAATAAAAAGCTGTATTACCAAGCTATTCATAAATATGTTTCTGGTAAATGTACAGAAGCTATATCACACTAAAGTGTGCATAAAGAGCATTCATATTGAACCCTCATTTCAGTTGGAATTATTGTATTGGAGTATTTGTCTGGTCATAGTAATGTGTATGCCTACCTGCAGGGGTCAAGCACTCCACAAGAAGCAGAGCGTGTACTGGCTGAAATGAAGAAGCTGGATGAGGAAGAACAAGAACCCAGTCAGGAGGAAATGGAGACTAGGTTTGAGAGGGAGAAGAGAGCATGCGTTATGGTGACATCCGATGGTAATTGAAGTCTTGTGGTATAATTTGATATGCTTACCCAACATATGTATAAAGTGCTTCTCCATTGTGTATGGTGCATCAAATATTACATTTAACAGTAATGTCATAGCTGGTGGGATAACCACCTAGAAATATGATTTAATCCTATTTCTTGTACTTTGCAGATGATATAGCGCAGTCTAAGTTCTCTCCTGGCATTTTCTGTTTCCTGGATGATCCAGATTTTGGCTACATTGATTTCAGCAAGAGAGGTGAACAAGGGCCTCCCACATTTCGTGCTCATGTAAGTATCTAAGTAAATTAAAGCTGATCTCTAGCTAAACAAGCTATTCCCTGCCCTAAAATATGCAGCAGCTGGGAGCACTGTATAATTTGTATGTAGCTTCAGCTGTGCTAAGGCTTTCTCGGGGCGCTTTTCATTCTACAAATGAATACAAAGCTTCCTCTGGCTCAGATTGTGATATCATCCACCCACCTCTCCACCTCAACCAATAAGTAAGCTTTTGTTCTGTGTGGGGTGGGAAGTTGCCATCCTGCTGCTGAAACACAGCCGAGGCGATGTACAGTTTATACAGGGCATGTTAGTGAAGGTAAGTATTAGATCAGCTTGGCCCAAACAAACTAAACTTCTCTAGAAACTGGAGGTCAACTTTAAGTGAAAGAATGTTGAAAGACGTGGAAAGTATGCTTTAAGGGCTAGTTCACACTAGATGCAGTTCAGTGTGCATTATTCTGCATCAAAAATGCATGCATAGGGTTTTCCATGTATTCAATGGCCCTGGTTCACACCAGTACAGTCAGTTCCAGTAAGTTTTCGGTGCAGAAAAAAAGTAGAACATGCCGGATTTTTTCTGCACAGAACCATACTGGAACATGGCAAACTGCACCGGAACTTCCTGTGGTGTGAACTGTGAGCAAAAATGTATCGAGTGCGTTTTTGTAGTGTGAACTGGCCCTTAATGTCAGGATTCTGAAAGTTTCTCCTTGGTTTAAATTGCTCTGGTTTGTGACAGACTTGTCTTGAAGTGTGGTTACACTTCGCAGTCAGGTTTCAGCAAATCCAACTGTTGTGTTCCCATTCACAACATACCTTAAGAAAAAAAAAATCATCATACAAAACAGAACACAGGAATTGATTTACAGACCATGGGATATGACAACACTGGCACAAACGTTGCTGGGTCCGTCCCATGTCTTCATATCCTTTGAACAGACTGCAAGCTGCTCTGAACAATTGGGAATGGAAAGTGGAGGGACAAAGTGGGGACACTTTCTCTCTAAAAGAATGCAAAATCCAACGCTCTATCTTTACACTTTTAAAAAGTTGTTCAAATTTAGTTTACAACTGAGAGCTGCCAGCATAATCTAGATTGAGATTATTATGGTAAACATTAACTCCAGTCCCCTCAACATTGGAGCAGGGAAAAGCTTCATTTTCGGAGATTTTTATTGCACTTATGTTTGCACTCCTTTGACTCTGAATCAGTTAACAGCAGGCTAAAGCCCGCTGTTGGCCTCTCCAGCATTTGGAAGGATTCCTGACCATATTGTCAGGATCCACCTAGCTGCCTGATTGACAGCTGGCTCCGGCTCTCAGCATGCGGCTTTGAGCTGAAGTAATCTGTTCCATCCCCAATCTAATGAGAACTGAGCGTTCAGCAGTCATGTAAACACTCCATTCTCAGACTTGGAGCCAAAGTGGGATTGCTGCAGTGTTGGACTGATGGTGCAGCATTGAAGAGTATGAATGAATGTTTTATTTTGCTAAGTCCTTCTCCTTTTAAGTTATGCTATGTGAATGGGTACATGTAACTGATATTAAACGTTGTTACAATTTGTCTGCATGATGCAAATACACTTTAAAAAGGCAATTCCTTTTTTCCATAACTGCAAGTAATGCTTTTTATTGGGAAATATTTACAGTCTGTATGAAGCGTTGATGCCCTCACATGCTTCCACATCCTAAATTCTAAAGAACAAGTAATTTCCGAATTATTGAAAATCCCTACTGTAGCCCCCAAAACTAGCCTTAGCTGATGTTACTTCTCCCCACCACACTGGTGCATATTTACCTCTTTGGGTTGCCTACACATGAAAACATCCCATATTTAAAAATGTGACATTACTTGTGCAGGGACATTAGTGGGCAGCCTGGCACTAGAATTTTACCAGCCAGAATCTTCACAATGCTGACTGTCCCTGCCATTGGTGGAGCTTAGCTTCAGCTTAGGCTCATTTAGTGGGTTTAGATAATTAATGAACTTTTCGAGCACCCCTGGAACACTTATTACCAGCTAGGGATTTTGTTTGAAAACAGAGGGCCTTGGTAGGTCGGATAAATTTTACTTGCCAGTCATCTTACCAGGTTAATTTAAAGCCTCATTTGTATATGTTTGAGCATGGGAGGTTGATCCCCAGTATTGCTGTCTGACTTGTCTTGCATCCACTTTTGCAGGACTACACATGGAATACACATGGATATTCACTGCTACATAGATTGTACCCAGAGGTGGGACAACTTCTGGATGACAAGTTTCAAGTAGCTTACAACTTAACATATCACACAATTGCCTCGCATCAGGGAGTGGATACATTCAAACTGCGTAGAGCTATATGGAACTATATTCAGTGCGTTTATGGAATCAGGTAAGGACTGCAAAAGAATATGGTTGCAAACTGTTTAGGTTATTATGGCTCTCCATATTTCCTTTGACACTTACAATTTGTTTTCTTCTGCTTCTGGTAGATATGATGACTATGATTACGGCGAGGTGAATCAGCTGCTAGAGAGAAGCCTTAAATTGTATATGAAGACTGTGACATGTCACCCAGAAAGAGTAAACCGGCAATTATATAATGACTTTTGGCGGGAGTTCAAGCACTCAGAGAAGGTATATTAAAACAGGAAAAAATTTGGTTTTGGTACTATTTTCCTGGGGAAAACAAACTGGGTCTTGTGCACATGAGCATTAAAAAGCTACTCTATGCTTTCAAATGGCTTAGTAAATGCCAGGGATAAATTGAGTCTGTTTGATCCTCAATTTTCTCAAATACCTGACCCATGCATTGGTTTAATGTTTGTTTTGTACCATCTCAAAGCTGTTCGTATATTGATGAGCGTTGCATTTTTGTGTTTACATTTCTAAAGAAAAATTTAACTTGTACCTGCATTTTTTTCCACACTCAATGCACTCAATTAAAAAAATTAAAACTAAAAGCCCAAATATTTGATTTTAAAACTGTGCCATGATTTTCAGTTGCCCAATTGAAAATGTGCAAGCAGATGTATAGAGAACCACAATTGGAAGTGTAATGGTTCTAGCATGTGCTGATACACTCCTAAAGGGCAAGTAATTACTAATTATTAAAAACCCCTTCCATAGCTCCAAAACTAGCCCTTGGCATGTAGTATGTTTTACAGCTGATTGATTCATATTGTACAGAAGGCTCTGATATTGTGCACTAGGATACTAAAAGCTGCGTTTGCAACTGAATTGTGCATTAAACTTGCTTGTCTGTCTTTTAGGTGCATTTGGACTTGCTACTGTTGGAAGCCAGACTACAAGCTGCACTGCTGTATGGTCTCAGAGCGATCACCCGCTACATGACGTGAGTCGGTGAAAGAATGGGCTGCGCCACAAAGGACTGACTGCCCCGTCATTGCTGCATTATTCATGCATATTTGCACACTTTGAAAATATAAGGGTGTACTCGTACCCTATGTTGCAGGCACTGATCACCTTATAGTATAAACACTGCTAGTCCATAAGGTACTAAGCACCTTCACACTTCTTGGATATATTTTCTCATTTCTGCAGCTGTAGTTATCTTTGTTTACACTCACTGTGCAGTTGTCTTTTCAGTAAGTATTTTAAAATGACAACACATTAACTCATTGCTTTTGCTTGTAATATGAACCACCTTCTGGTAGACCCTCAACTTGTTCCTAAAATAAGCTATCATTGTTAAGTTGCTGATGCAGTAGCTTTAACACTTTAATGACCAGGAACAATTGTGCAGGTTAGGTGTTCAGATCTCACTTGCTTCATACATGTCATTTGAGAACTCCAGGAATGGTAAAATGTTGAGCTAGCTTAGATCTAGTGAATGATCCTAATGCCATCTCCATGTTGGCTGATGGACAATCTTTAACCTCTTGCACTAGCTGAACACAAATAAGCGGCCTCCTGGCATCTGGGCCTAGACACCGAGCGGGCTGCACATTTGCCTTCTATTAAAAAAAAAAAAAATGTGCTGAGAGCGCATGCCCTGCGCGCTCCCAGTACACACATTCAGTACTCATGGAAAAGTCCCGATCTCCTCTTGTGATTGGGACCATTCCCGATCATGTGACTGCCGTGTCAGTGAATCACGGTGGTTACATGACCCTAAAACCTCGCCCGCCTCCCGGCTTCTGGAACCCTTAAAGGGCCAGGAGGCACCGGAGCCAAGGGATTAATGTAGTGTTGTAGCCCATGATACACAGGAAATTGTGTCCTTTTCAGCTGTGTGCTCCTGCGACGTCCTCTGTGCACTAGTGTTGCTTGCTCTGCCACTCAGGAGAAGCCTTGTGCATGTTTTTTTTTTCTCTCCAACAAATACAAGGCTTCTTCGGCCTGAGGTAGAGATTGTGGCATCCAGTTGTCTCTGCATTGGCCAATTAGGGGGGAAGTTTTGTATTCACTGAAAAAACAGGAGTAACAGAAGTGATCCTCTATATTTAGTGCACAGAGGGAAGTCACAGGAACACCAGCTGAAAGGATGCCCCTTCCTGTGTAGCATAGGCTACAATACCAAATTGAGGATTGACCCCCCAGCCACATGGAGCAGGCATTAGGATAATTTGATCCAAGCTCACAAAAGTAGATGTAGATTGTACTAACATTCCTGGAAAACTTTAACACAAAGTATTGAAGTTGTATATAGCCAGGCGGCTATCGTTTCAGGGGATTTTAGCCTACAACCTTTCAGAGCACTGGCTTTAAAAGCAGGTTTGGTAGAGCTTGGCTGTGAAAGAGTTGATGGTTGAATAGAACTGCCTTTTTTTTTTTTTTTTTTTTTTTTTTTTTGCTTTTTGTTTTTTCATGCGTCTGAAATTCAGCAGTCATTGCACAGGTACTCCAGTACACTGAAGGAAAACTTGCATTCCTTAGGGAGCATATTTTTTTTCTAGACCTGAAACTTTGATGTTTGTTTACAACACTAATGAATTAAAGGCCATGTGGCCTTTGTGATTGCAGTAAATATTTGCACATTCTTAAAGGTGTGCATGCAATTTTTTTTTTTTCTCTAGTAAAGCGGTTTACCATTTCTATTAGCTCAGGCTAAATGTTGAATTTGGAGACATTTTGTTAAGGCTTGCTGTTTTGCACAGATTTAGGATCAATCCCATCTGTAAAAACTATATTCTAGAGTAAGATATTAGGCCTCATTCACACGAGAATACTGTTCTGTAAACCTTTGCAGAGGGGTTGATTTACCTGAGCTGCATTCTGAGCTGTCTTCACAGATGTACACTTTGGGGATTCATGCAGTCATATGTCATTTATTTTAATAGGCTGCCTGCACATGGTTGCACTGAACACCTGTGCTGGTAAATACAGCCCCATGCACAGGTGTACAGAACAGTATCACTGTTTGAAGCTTTAGGCTGCATTGATATGGGTGTAAGCTCAAGTCCAGCGAACATCTGGCAGCTTGCAGCGCAACACTCAAGTGTCAGTTCTCTTCACTTGTATGGTAATGTGCCTATACGCATGTTATAGCAATGGTCTGCACATCTGAAAACAGAGTGCAGGCAGATGTCGCCATTCAAGGATGGTAAAATCAGGGGAGGTTTCCATTTTCCTGATCTCGAGGGTTTCCTGCTTGCCCATATGCATTTCTAAAATTTAACTCCGTTCCAAGGTGGTGACTTAAATGTGATGCATTTAAAAAATTCTACTACATTGGTGTACAATACACAAGGTTTCGTTTTGCCCCTCACCAGAAGGGGAGCATTGAAAATACCAAATTTACTCAAACTGAACACAAAGAAAGTAAAAAGCCAAGGATGTATTCTTACATTTGGGAATGAGCCACGTGTATCTTTTTCCATCAGCCCTAATGGGTACAGTATTTGAGAATTAAAAGGCTATATTACTCCTGTATTCTACCTCTCATTCAAAGGCACCTTTTCAGTACTCATAGATCTTTTTATACTGTGAATCTATCTTGGTTTTCTAGAACTGCTGATTGTATGATGTTTAAGGGTAAAAGTAGGGGTGATATGACCCTATCATTTGCTACTGTTTTGTCTGTTTTTTTAATCTTTGTAAAATCTTGTTACAGATTGATTGTGTAAATGTGTGGATTAAAGATTTTCATTATATTTTTTGTCTTGTGGTTTAATTTTTTTCAGTGTATATTTAGTGCCTCATAGTATTGTCATGCAGACTTGTATAGTGCTGTCTTAAAACTGAAGATGCTTTAAAATACAGGTCTGCGGGCTCACGGAGTACAATTGTGATTTAAAGTATTAGTTTACCTTTTTAATATAAAACTTTTAAAAGTTGCACAACACCATAACACTCTTATCCTTATCAGATCTTACGATCATGCCTCTTTTCTTGTAACATTTGCAATTAAAGAAGCCTCTCAAACTGCCACTGCTTTACATGGTTCTGTCCTGTTATCTAGTAGGGCAGAGCAGCTGTTGGGGCACTTTCACACTGCTCTGGTGTCTTCCTCATGGTTTTCATGTGGGTTACCCCATGCTTCCCCATAGACTTAAATTACCGTATCTATAAGACGACTTTTTACCCCTTGAAAATCTTCTCAAAAGTCGGGGGTCGTCTTATACGCCGGTATATGGCATACTGACACTTTTTAGGGTGGCGGCGCGGTGCCGCCACCACCCCCCCCCTTCCAACGGAAGGGACACTAAGTACAGGGGTTGGGCAGGGGCTGTTTCTTACCTGGCTCCGGTCCCACAACGATCCGGTCCAGGAAGCGTGGCTGCTCCTTCAGGTCGGCCACTGGATGTTCGCGCGGCTGCTCGGCTCAGCCTCCTCACCGGTGATTGGCCGCCAGAACTGTAGCTCAGGAAAGGCACACAGGCGGCCAATCACGGCGAGGGGGCGGAGCCGAGCGGCCCCACGAAAATCGAGTGCAGGAGCAGCAGGTAAGTGTTCAGTGTAGAGGTGTGGGGCACTATTCCACCCCCCACTGACACCAATGATGGGGCACTATTCCACCGCCCACTGACACCAATGATGGGACACCATTCCTCCCACTGACACCAATGTTGGGGCACTATTCCCCCCACTGATACTAATGATGGGGCACTATTCCCCCCACTGATACCAATGATGGGGCGCTATTCCCCCCCACTGATACCAATGATGGGGCGCTATTCCCCCCCACTGATACCAATGATGGGGCACCTATTCCCCCCACTGATACCAATGATGGGGCACCTATTCCCCCCACTGATACCAATGATGGGGCACTATTCCCCCCACTGATACCAATGATGGGGCACCTATTCCCCCCCACTGATACAATGATGGGGCACCTATTTCCCCCACTGATACTAATGATGGGGCACTATTCTCCCCCACTGATACCAATGATGGGGCACTATTCCTGCCACTAATGCCAATGATGGGGCACTATTCCTGCCACTAATGCCAATGATGGGCACTATTCCTCCCACTGACACCGATGATGGGGCACTATTCCTCCCACTGGTGTGCATTGGAAGAGGGGTAGTCTTATACGGCGAGTATAGCCCAAACACTACATTTTAGCAGGAAAAGTAGGGGGTCGTCTTATACGCCCAGTCGTCTTATACGCCGGCAAATACGGTAAGTATTTTTGGTACATTTTCTGAAAGCACGAGTCCTGCATGCTGCATCTTTGCTCTTTCAGAAAACACCAAAAAATGACTAATAGAAGTTTATGGGAAAGCATGAGTAACCTGCACAAAAACTGTAGGTACACTGCGCTGCTCCTGCGCTGTGGGGAAACCACATCAGAGCAGTGTGAAAGGCCTTCGCATGAGCACCCTCTTGGTGTTACAGGAGGGAATGTGGTGGTTTTGCTAGGGGGCACTTGTGGGAAGACAGGACAGAATGATGTAAAGCAGTGGCAGGCTTCTGTTGTGAATATGGCGCACGGGTATGATACCATAGTTTTATGTTTTGTAAGAAATGGCTTAGGGTACTGTTTTGGTGCAATGGCAATTTAATTTTGGTTTATATTCCCCCTGGAAAATGAGAGAAGCAGTTCTGGCTGTGATACTTGCTTTCTCAGTCACAAGTGAGCAGTTGTCCTGGTTGAATGTACCCAGAGTGTTTACAAAAAGGACTGTACTGTGAATGTGGGGCTTAACCATGGTGTTCTTCAGTGTATTAGCACTGGTGTTACTCGGCCTTATGCAGGTCTACCCCACCACTATGAGAACAGTGTCAAGTGGCTGGTAAAGTTTAGAAACAAAGTATATTAAGTCCCTGGTCACATCAATTTCAATTCTGAAATCGTGCGATTAGTGAAGTCGTACGATTTCAAAATCAGGTGACCTGCAAATTTCAGTTGAGATTTGCAAGACATCTAATCCGATGTCTATGCAAA